GGGGTGTGGGTGTGGGTGTGGGTGTGGGTTTGGGTTTGGGTGTCGGTGTGGGTGTGCAAAAGGTAATATTCGCACCCGCACCCGCCCATCCAAACCCACACCCACACCGACACCCCACCCTTCTGTAGCGGACGTAGACATTTATGATACATTGATTCTTATATTTTGTCCTGAACACTATAGCTCTCTTTGGACTATAAGTTATTCTTCCGTATCTGCAAATACTTAAGACATATTATTATTGGACTGGATGCATTTTATGAATGAGCATTTGAATCAAGCTTAGATCGGTTTGTAAACATCAACAAAGGGTTGCTAGTGTCAGTATGCTTCATTAGATTCCACATTCACACCCTACGTGCGACTAGTAATTTCTGAAAAAGAATTCAGTGACCAAATAGATTTCATTATCGGTAGAGTAGGCTCAATTCGCTTCCGGAATTTCGCTTGATGTCGTCATCGTTGAAAATAATCCCGCAGAGTCAGTTTGTCGATTGATAAATTGCAAGCGAGATCCATGAAACTCATCCTACTCATGGATCTATTATGATCAAATTTACTGTCCATTTCAGACATAAAAGGTCGTGGGTATTTTTCGAATAACTTTTCGCAGGAATGAGATAGAGACAAGGGGGAAAAACCTCATTCCGAGCCATTCGAATGGCTCGGAATGGCTTGGAATGGATCGGAATGGCTTGGAATGAATCGGAATGGATCGGAATGGATCGGAACGGCTAGGGATGGATTGGAATGGATCGGAATGGATTGGAATGTCTGAGTAGTTCCCCTGTGCAGTTGACCTTTGACTAGGGGTGGGCCATTAACATTAATCTTAAATAAATATTAATATTTTTCATTAACATTAATATTAATGTTAATGTTTTTCATTAATCATTAATATTAATGGTTAATGTTTTCCTTTAAAAACTTAATTCATTAATATTAATGATTAATGAAAACGTTAACATTAATATTAATGTTAACGTTTTCATTAATATTAATGACTTAATATTAATGAATTAATGTTTAATGAATGAAGTTTTTTAAAGGAAAACATTAACCCTTAATATTAATGGTTAAGTGAAGTTATTAATTAATGTCAGTGATAAAGTCCCATTAAATAAAATGGTCCACTCCTAGTGTAAAGACTTTTTACACGCAGATTGTGAGCATTTGAAGTTGTTTTTATGACCTTTTTTTTGATTAAATTTTTGCTGTTGATTCCCTAAAAGATATCTGCAGGTTCCATGTAAGCGAGCATCTAGGCGAGTCTCCTTCAATAAACAAAAGCTTTTAGTTCTTCCCCAACAACACGTGCACATTTCCCATACAATGGGCTATTTAATTTCAGTCTGAATTTATCAAATAAAAATAATACTTGATTTCAAACTGAAACGTGAGTCTAGGAGTGAGGGGGGTGACTGAGGGTGTGGGTCTGGGTGTGGATCCCACACCCACACCCACACCCATGGTGTGGGTGTTGGCGCGCGAGTGAGGGTGAGGGTGTGCTTGTGGTTTTGTGTACTATAGGCTTTAGTCCCCTGCACAGGGAACTAAGGGGGGACTAAGCTTTTTGTGGGGGGGGACTAAGGGGGACTTTGCAGGACTAGGGGGGACTAAGGGTTTTTAGTGAGACTACGTAGTATCAAGCGAGAAAAGTTTGATTCGGAAGAAATTGGTGTGGTTTTTTTGATTTTAGAATTCAGTTTGAAATAAAAAAGCCTATAGACTCACATTTCCACTATATTTTACGCATTTTTTCGCAACATTTTCTTGAAAATCTCCATTTATATACCATAATTTATCATACACCTCTCACAATCTTCGAAACTTCGCGTGGCGACTGAGTATGTGAAACATTGATTTATTGAAAAAGTCATTTCTACAATCAAAACAATCCCTTAAACTTGTGAAATACCTGCTTGAAGGCAAAAGATCAATAAATAACCCATCAAATATTCCATTGATACATAAATTCTGCACCTTTTTTTGTGTTTTAGACAAATTTAAGGCCTTCCATCTTATGATTGAAAAGTGATAGAAGTCTGAAACTTTTAGTGTAGTTAGGTATCTTTGACTTCGAATTATACTAAAATTTTCAGAGTTCTATCCCTTTTCAATCACGACGTGCAAGGCGTTAAATTTGCCGAAAACACAAAACAACCTACAGAACTTATAACCAATGCGAGAGTTGTTTTCATCATATTTATTTTTTCATTTATCTTTCAGGAGAATCAGGAGCAAAAATTTGATCGAAAAAAGACCGCAGAAACAATTTCAAATACACATAGATGGACATAGAGCATTATGCTGATTCTAAATATAATATTTGATTGAAGTCAAACCAGGATTGTTCTGTTCGAAAAGCGTCGAATAGGAAACAAAAATGATAGACATTGGGTTCTATGAGTCATATTTGAGCAAAAGTGCTTTACTAGACATCGATTTTCAAGTTTAAAACAGTTTTATTAGAAAGAACACATAGAATTGCATATTTAATAGGAAAATCTTACTGATGCACTTGTATAAACTATAACTTCAAAAGGCTAAACAAACAGTAGCTTTGACAATATGGCCCAATCTGGGCGGTATTTGGCATTTATTGTGTAGGGAAAGGTTTGAATGTCTCCAAACTCCTTATAAATCTTGATAGAGAAAAGAATTTTCGTCGAGTAAGTCTTTTTGTGAACCTAAATTGATTTTTGATGAACGTCTGGATGAAAAACGTTTTTTAGGGCTTTCAAAAAGTGTTATAGACGTTTGTTATTATCCAACTAATTTAAGAAAAAACTGTTAGATTTGTAATCAAACCACTGAGTCCTGCCAAGTTATAGGGACTTCTAATTGAACGGCGACAAAAATAATTGTTTTTGATGCCTGAGGGGACCCCAGACATTAAAAATGAATCATGAGAAAATATATAATAAACTTGTAAAAAATAATCAGGGATGACTGTTGATTCTTCGGATAATAAAATTAGATCGAGTTTCCTTTCTGGGACGCCAGGTCCATTATTTGGTATCTCGCTTTGTAGACCATAGAAATCTGAAGATATTTTTTCGTGAGATACCAATTAATGAAAAAAAATGACGTATGTTAATTTTTTCCTTAGAATTTATTTTCTTGATTGACTCATGAAGTCTGTCTTGAATAGTTATGATGGTTTCCATTAGAGAGGTCCTGAAAAATTATCGAGATTACCCTCAGTATTTCTTAAATTAACTTTTCTTCCATGAAAAAATCAAAATAAAAAAAATATTTGCTTCATATCAATCATTAATCATTAATATTAATGTTAATTTTTTTCATTAACATTAACATTACTATTAATGGTTAATGAAAAACATTAATTAATGTCATTAATTAAGTCCCGTTAAATTAAATGGTCCACCCCTACCTTTGACCCTTGATCTTTGACTCGGTAGCAGACAAATGCTGGATATATGTGTTTCGCTCGGAATGGATTGGAATGGATCGGAATGGATTGGAATGGATCGGAATGGCTAGGAATGGATCGGAATGGATTGGAATGGATCGGAATGGATTGGAATGGTTTGGAATGGATCGGAGTGGATTGGAATGGATCGGAGTGGATTGGAATGGCTGGGAATGGCTCGGAATGCCCGAATGAGATTTTTCCCCCTTGGATAGAGACCTACAGTTTTTACCATTGGATTGAGAAAATAAAAATGCATCGATTCACATATAAAAAAAGATCTTCCTATCTACTCTCCTGAAGGTTTTACTCAAACGTTTTTACAGAATTACGTTTTTCTGCTACGTTGAGAAAGTATTTTTTTCTATCAAAATACTACAAGAAACCTGCATTTTTCGACTATTTTGTTAAAAATCGCTTGGTAAATTGCATTTCAATGGCTAAAATATGTTATTGCTAGTAATTACGCATAGAGGCTTTCCATAATTCACGGAAACTTTTTTGAACAAAAACCACAAGAAAGCGCGGTTCACAAAATACGGTAATTAACAGTTTTACGAAATCGCTTAAAGTCAGACCTTTTATAAGGTTTATGAAAACCGCCAAGAACCGCGGTTTTTACCGGTATTCGAAACAGCATAAAAGGTCTGACTTTCACGGTTTTCTGAAACCGCTGAAAAACGCGGTATTTTTTAGACCGCTATATACCACGATTTCTATGACCATACCTGATTCAGGTATAGTCAGACTGACCTAAAATTATGATAAAGTTCAGGTGAGCCGCCCTTCAAGAAACTTGCAGTGAACTTTTAGAAGCTCTATTACTGCAAAGTTACTTTTTAGTGAGTGATAGAATAAGAAAACTTATTCAAAATTTGCATGAAAATAGCAGGGCACGACATCCTTTTCATCCTTACACATTCCATCGCGATGGTTTAAGCACTAAAAGTACCACGGTTTCCAATTATTATACTGCGATTTTTTACATCACTGAATACCGCGGTATATAGAACCGCGATCACGAATACGAGCAACGCAGTTTCAAAACACTACGGTTCAAAAGACTGCTACCAACTGCGGTTTCGAGTGGTTTTTCGAAAAAAAAAATTCCGTGGGATGGTGTAAAAAATACGCTAAAAATCTGATTACATCTTATTTTAAACTGAACGTACGTTAAATGTCAAGATTAATATTCGTATTCTCTTCTGACCTATATAGACTTTCAGTGTGTAGTGTCTTCTTTTGTATGATAATGATAATTCTGAGTTCTATATTAAATCGATACAGGATGAGCTGTCCCCGTGAAAGAAAATAGAACACCTGACGAATATATCAAGCTCAATGTATTAGGCATGAAACATAATAAATCTTTTGAACACTCATCTTTACACACATGTGTAATGAGCGAAGCAAAAAATGTTGGAAGTATTTTCTATGAGATTTTGAAACAAACTAACCCATTCTTCGAGAATTAAATATTTTCAACGTAGAATAATCAATAATATTTTCGGCTGTTTCGAACTTCATAACGATTGCGTATGACTTCACATTGTTCTAAATATCATTATAGAAAAAACTGCTCATTATGATAGAAAAAATTCTTGACAAGTCTAAGATTAGCACAAAAATATTGGTTCAAGATCGTTTATATTACTGTTGTTACTTGATGAGAACTTCTTAAGATTCTTCTTTATAATTTTATTCATCCAGAAGTAGGCAATGTATTAATATGACTAAACAACACTCATGAATAAACGACTAATGCGTTGAAATCATTGGTCTGAATACGATTTCAATCATGGAAACAAGGTCATACAATCAATGGTTTACCTGAAAATTAATGAAAGACTTTTTTTTCAGGAAGATTTCAAATTTTCTTCGAATAAAATATCGAGTGATAATACTTTAAAAACATTATGTATCACAAGTTTTTAATTTAGGCGTGATAAATATAAATGATCTCAATTATGAATAATCTAAAATACTACAGTGTTGGTATCGAGATCGATGAAGAGAAGACTCACACCTAAACTCATTCCACACCCATATCCACTGTTTGAAAATGAGTTCTGTAAATCAAAGAAAAAATTACACACAGTTGTTTCGAAAATCATATTCATGGATGTTTCAATCAAATGAAAAAGGTCAATGTTAACAAGATCAGTTACGATTTGATGAAGTTTTTAAAATACCATTCATAACCAGCTTCATAGTTTTGATTATAGAAATGAAATAAACAATCAATAAATGAATCAATAAATGAATCTCCATATGAGAAAGAACACCGAAACATTGAACGCCACAAAGAAATGTTTGTAGATCCTTGATAATTCGATATTCGATAGAACGAATTCCTCATAAAATATGTGTTGAGACCGAATGAATAAGGAAAAGATGAAACATATGCCCAAGATTGGAGCAAAGATTGTAATTTGGACGATGGATAAAATGTTTCTAGTCGTTCATTTGATTCAATCAAAATTAGTTTTCGTGCAATTGTAAATATAAATTCTCTATAATCATATGCTTTTGTATGTGAAACTGCTTCTTGCGCTATGAAGTCAGATATTGCATTACCGAGCGCATATTGTTCAGTACAAAAGCTTGAACCAGAAAAATCAGGATTTGGGTCTTGGTACATTGTAAATGGTTTTGGTTCAATCCACATTTTCCATGCATTTTTCCACAAACCAAAAAATGTTCTCATACATGATGACTTAAAACCCATAAAGCATGCTTGTGGTATAAATGTATCTGGATGTTGTTGTTTCCATTTAGTAACAAACGATGAATCATACATGATATGATCAAGAATGAAATAAAATAATTTGTTGGACCATCGAAATTCTCGTAAATAATTTGTCAAATCTCGATAAACAATTGTATTTGAATCCATCCAGTAGATTTCATCAAAACCATGATCAAGAAATTTAAGAATATCTAATTTATATTGTGTAGGATTTCAATTCTCGAAATGTGGCGTCATAGATAAGTATTTACATAAAATACGATGATGATAAATTTTGGAAATGCATGACATAACTTCATCTCGTGTATCATCATTCTTAATCAATAGACTAACCATTACTTCTGGAGTTGTTCTT